ATTTACAGAAAGACTCATTGTTTTTGCTACTAACACTGAGATGTTGGCGCATGTGTCTCTAATATGTATGTACCTGATTATTACTAGTCAAAAAGGGCTGCACTTGGATCCTTGGCACCTGTGTATGTCTGTAAAGTCATCTGACAGATTTCAATGGTAATGTTTATCACCTCTACCAATTAACATGACATAAATTTCCATGCTTCCTCCTCAAATATAATATATTGTTTAAAATTTGTTGGTATTTTTTTTGTGTGTGTGTGTATCACACAGAACATCACAAACCACCTTATACAACTAGACAGCCACTTCCCAGATGGCACCCTCCCATAGCCTCCCTCCCCACACTAGAGCCATTATACACTGATATCCCTGTTACTGTCTGCTATGTTGTCAGCACCCCAGCCATTCCCCACTACTTGTCCATTTGGTGATCTGATGAGCCTATCTAGAGGTCTTTGTTTTAGGAAGGTCACCTGTTCCTCATCTAGCCAAATCAGTTGTCAATATTCCTTTAGGTTAAGATAGGAGTCTTTTGTTCATTTTCCCAGTTCTATGCTGGGTTACTATCTGGGAGTCCCTTTGACCACCCTGGCCAACAACTCAGAAGAAGGTATATACTATCTGGCATTGTTGCTTGTTATGTAGCCTTTAGCTATACATATGGCCTCTTAAAACTTATATTGGCCCCTTTAAACTTTGGTAGTACTTTCCTTTTGGGTGTTTAAAGCCATACATTTGGCCCAGATAAACCATTTTATTTTTAGGCTTAAGGCTGTTGGAGGACCTGTTCCTCAGGAGACACATGGGCTTGGGAGGATCCCCTGGCTCCTTTCTTTTACCAGTTCCACCTATGTGAAGATAAGTCAAAGGGCCTGCTCAACCACAGTTAGCTTCACTTGGAAGCATGGAGTAAATGATTCCTCTGTGTTGACCCTCCTCTGTAAACTGGACACTGGTTCAAGTACATCTCGTGGGGTCTCCTTGGCCTCCTTGATAAAGAAGACAGGTGACCCACCACAGTTACAGGACATTTTGAGAGATGCTCATAGTCCCCTGGAACTAGTCAACCTAGGAGGGCAAGGAGCAAAAACTGTCCTTTATGGCCCTCTGACCAAATTAGTATAGGCCTCAAAGTATGTCTGTTAAACATCCAAGAAGGTTAGCTCCACCAGTCTAGTACTTTAATTACTGTGTGTCATGCAGATAAATCTTGGGCAAAGACCAATTTTCTCAGATAAACCTTACCTAGATATATATTTCTTGATCTGCTATGTATAATTTGTCAGTAGGTTGTTGGACTAATATGGTTCCCTCTGTTTTTTAAAACTAGCCAGGCATTATTTATCTCTCATATTGTCTCACCCCTCCATCATGGTTTCCCTAATTAAGTTGCCCTCATTTCCCCCCCTTTCTCCCTTAATAATATCCTTCTCCTGTGGTCCTACCTCTCTTGAGCTCCTTCTTTCCCTTATCCCCTAGGATCCTTGTACACCCTTCCCTCCCCCCTCCCTTAAACTAACACAACTTTTATCAATATCACCCTTATTAAGGCCTGTTTCCTACTGTTATTCTATTTCAGATTCTTTCTTTTCCTTTACCTCCCTGGTTCCTTTCCATTATCCTGGTTCCTGTAGTTATGTCTGGATACATAATCATTTATCAGGATTTGGTGCTAGGATCTACATATGAGGGAAAACCTATGTGGTTTTTACTTTTTTTCCTGAGCCCGTGTTACTAAAGTTAGTATAACAGTTTCTAGGTCCATCCATTTACCTGCAAATTTCATTATTTCTTCTTGCTTTACTGCTGAGTAAA